CTAGTTTATGAGGAGCGGTAGACGAGAGATTTGGGAAGCAAAGGCAACCGAACACCCTTAAAAGATCATAAGTAGGTTGTTTTTGAAACAACGCATGAGTAGGGGTTATGCCATTGAGAGCTTTAGTAAGTAAAATGTTCAAAAGGTAAGTAGCGGTCTCAAGAGCATAGACCCAAAAATTGGGTGGAAGTGAGGCATGAAAAAGAAGTATGCGTTTGATATTATTAATAGTGCGGATCATGCGCTCCGCCTTTCCGTTTTGAGATGAGGTGTGAGGACATGAAAACCTGAAAACCATGCCATTCTCTAAGCATTGCTCTTTAAATGGATCATTATCAAATTCACGTCCATGATCGCTTTGAAAAGCTTTTATTGGTCTTTCGAATTGAGTTTGCACATAGTTCCAAAAGTTTATAAACATTGGAAAGGCTTGAGACTTATAAGCAACGGGAATAGTCCAAACAAAATGAGTGAAATCATCAATTAAGACTAAATAGTATTTATGACCATTGACGCTCCGAATAGGAGAAGTAAACAAATTGCCATGAATAATATCAAAAGCACAAAGAGTATGACTAGTAGAGTCGAAAAAGGGTTGTCTAACATGTTTTCCTAATTGACAAGACGTACAAAAATCGGAGGGTTGATCCTTATTAATATCAATGTAGTTTTTGCTCCTAAGAAAATTTAAAGAACTAGCTCCAGGGTGTCCTAAACGGCTATGCCAAGTTGTTGGAGAAGTGACCATGAGGGTTGATGCAAGACATGAAGATGGTGAAGAGTTGATGGTGACTGGGTAAAGGTCTCCCGAATTATTACATCTCGTGATTATCTTCCCCGTTCGAAGGTCCTTCACAGAAAAACCAAAAGGGTCAAATTCAATGGAAACTAAATTATCAGAGGTAAATTTACGAACTGAAATTAAGTTTTTAATGATTTGAGGGGCTAATAAGACATCATGAAGGGCTAATTTGTTGTTAGGGAGAGTGGTGTGACCATAACCCATGACCGGAATGCGGTGACCATTTCCCACTAAAATGTTATTAGTAGTGCTCAAATTAAACAGAGGCATGAGAGTACCTGAGTTGTGAATCATGTGTGATGTAGCACCCGAGTCCATATACCATCCGTTGTCCGGGTTTGCAAGAGTCATGGACGAGTAGGCAGACCCCAATTCAGTAGGAGTGTATAGTTGCCCGTATTGAGGCGGCCCAGTCATGAAGGCTTGTTGTGATGGGCCACGAGTGGACTGGTTTGGAGTAGAAACCATCCTGGGCTGCCCAATTGGGCCTTGGGCCGTAGGGTATGGGCAGGGAGGTACGACTTAATAACCTGGCCACTGTTGAGGAGCCCATTGCTGAGGTGGGTGATTAGGCCACATAAGTGGGCCGGCCCACTGTGAATTGTTGGGCTGGTGAGACGAATGTTGTTGTTGCTGTTGGGACGAGGTTGCTGACTTGGTCGAGTTGTTGCCTCGTCCTTTGCCGCGGCCCTTTCCACCGGCGGCCTTGCCACCTGGACGTCCCCCACGACCACTGCCGGAGCCACGGCCAGCTCAGCCGCGTCCACCACTTGAAGGGGCGTGCTGAGGTTGATCATTGGAACCCGAATCTTGATGTGCAACGAAGGAAGATTGTTGCGGTTGGCCATGATCATTGGCTCGCCGAGATTCCTCAAGAAGAAGGCGAGACCTGGCAATGTTGAAAGTGGGCAGGGGATCGGTTTGTTGAATCATTGTCGCCACCGTGTCAAAATCAGTGTTGGTGAGCCCAAACACCATACGGATCACCAACTTTTGCTCCGAGACGGGTTGATCAATATTGGCTAATTGATCGGCTATGCTCTTAAGTTGTTGACAATATGCAGTGACATTAGGATAATTGCTAAGATGAAGCAAATTAAACTGTGTCAAGATAATCTCCCAGTGTTCCTCTTCTCATTCAGCCTCAATCAAATATATATACAATCATATAGAAAGCTACTCAACGTAGGATTCTAATATATCTAGCTTAGGGAAAGATCTATCCTACTAAAAGATAATATACTAAAAGATAATTTATTCCCTAAATATATTATCTTATCTCAACATCCCCCCTCAAGTTGGAGCATAAAGATCTCGAATGCCCAACTTGGCAAGTAGTGTCTCGAACTGAGCCTTCCCCAAGGCTTTGGTAAAAATGTCTGCTAGCTGCTCCTTCGTAGGCACATACGAAGGTGAAATCAGTCCCTCCTGAATTGCATCTCTTACAAAATGCAAATCAATTTCAATATGTTTCGTCCTCTCATGGAAAACTGGATTTTTAGCAATGTACAAACCTGACTGACTATCACAATATAATTTCATACCCTGCGGATGTAGTACACCCAAAGCTCTTAGTAGTTGTTTCAACCACTTTAATTCACATGTCGCAGCCGCCATCGACCTGTATTCCGCATCCGCAGATGATGTAGCAACAGTGGGTTGTTTCTTGGTTTTCCAAGACACCAGGGAAAAACCAAGAAATACAAACCAACCTGTCAAAGACCTCCTAGACAAAGGGCAACTAGCCCAATCAGAGTCACACCACCTTCAAGTTGCAATTCACTATCCGAGCGAAGAAGTATCCCTTGTCCTGGATTTTTCTTCAAATAACGCACCACTCGAAGTGCGGCCTCCCAATGTGCCTCCTTCGGACTCTGCATAAACTGAGATAAAATATGAACAGAATATGCTAGATCCGGTCTAGTTACAGACAAGTAAATTAGACGTCCAACAAGTCGTCTATATTTTTCCACATCTTCCAACACTCTGCCTTCTGCAAGAGCTAACTTATGATTTTGTTGCATCGGGAAATCTGCAGGCTTAGCTCCTAACAAACCATTTTCAGAAATAATATCTAATGCATATTTCTGTTGGCAAATATAAATTCCCTGCTTACTTCTCGCAACCTCAAGTCCAAGGAAGTATTTTAATACTCCCAAGTCCTTCATTTTGAAACAATCTCCTAAGTATGCCTTAAATTTTGATAAGGCTACTTTATTGTTCCCTGCAACAATCAAGTCATCAACATATATCAACACATTCAACTACAATTGTCCTTTGGTCAATGTGAACAAAGAATAATCTAAGTAGGATTGCTTAAACCCATATTTCTTCAAAGCTGTAGTCAATTTTGCAAACCAACATCTTGGAGCCTGTTTTAGACCATATAATGATTTTTTCATCCTGCACACATAATCAGAGTTATTTTTATTGAAACCCGGAGGAATTTTCATGTAAATTTCCTCTCCAAGTCTCCATGTAAAAATGCATTATGCACATCCATCTGGTGTACCTCCCAATTTTTCACTGCTGCTACTGCCAGAAAAGTCCGAACTGTAGTCATCTTTGCAACCGGCGCAAATGTTTCATTGAAATCTAGTCCTTCAACTTGATGGTTACCCAGTATCACTAACCGGGCTTTCAATCTCAACAAATTCCCGTGCTCATCACGTTTCTCTGTAAAGACCCACTTACTACCCAAGGCTTTCTTCCCTGGCGGAAGTTTCTGAAGAACCCAAGTACCTTGCTCTTCTAAAGCTCTAATCTCTGCGGCCATTGCATCTTGCCAACCTGCATGTTTCATTGCCTCTTTGAAAGATCTAGGCTCATTCCCTGTTGTTATAGCTGCAATATACTTTTTATGTTTCTCAGAGAAACGAGAACAATCAACAAAATATGTGAGAGGATAAGGAGTACCTGAGGGAGGTGATGTAGGAGTCGATGTACTTGAAGATGAATTGTATTTTCGTATTGTATGAGTCACAAAATCACGATATTTAACATTTGGAATTTTCGGCCTTTGTCCTCTCCCTAAGGTCTCGGCATTCCCCACTTCCTCTCGCTGTTCTTCACGTACACGAGCAGCACAATGCTGCTGCTCATCACGCACACCGCAGCCAGCATCGTGCTGCTGGTCGTCTCCCCCATTGCTCCCCCCAACACCCGCTGGTATACACTCGGGCTGGGCAGATTGGTGGTGGGGGTTTGTGGCGCCACCTGCACCCACTGGCTGGGTCGTGGGTGGTTGTTGCTCCTGCCTTTGTGGCTCGGCACATACTGCCAGCCGCTCATCATCATCACCATAGCACACACTCCTACCTAATTGCTCGTGCCTCTCCATATTTTCCCTTACTAAATCCGTATTAAATGGAAAAATATTCTCAAAAAAACACACATCACGTGACACAAATATTTCTTCGGTTTCTAAATCAAAGACTCTCCAACCCTTTTTCCCAAAGGGATATCCCAAAAAAATGCACCTTCTACTACGACTCGCAAATTTATCCCCCTTACTTCTTTGATTGTGAGCATAACATAGGCAACCAAACACCTTAATATATTCATATGAAGGAGGTTTATTAAATAATATGTCGAAAGGTGTTTTGTTTTCAAGTAACGGAGTTGGAGTTCTATTTATTAAATGACATGCCGCTAAAACACACTCTCCCCAAAATTTTAACGCCAAATTCCCTTGAAACCTCAAAGCTCGTGCAACGTTTAAAATATGTTGATGTTTTCTCTCTACCCTTCCATTTTGTTGAGGTGTTCCCACACACGATGTTTCAAAAATTATGCCATTAGTATTAAAATAATCTTTCAAGGAATTAAATTCCGTGCCATTATCACTTCTAACAATTTTAATATCATGATTAAATTGTCGTTTCACCATAGCCACAAAATTTAAAAACATCAATTCAACATCGGTTTTATTTTGCAACAAATAAACCCAAACACCTCTAGAAAAATCATCAACAATTGTTAAAAAATAACGAGCACCACATGAAGAAGGTATTCGATATGGACCCCACAAATCTATATGCACAAGTTCAAATATACGACTTGCTTTATTCTCACTTATAGGAAAACTAGACCTAGATTGTTTTGCACGAGGACAAACATCACAGACTTTAATAGTTCTTCTAAAATTACTACTCACAACTGGAATTAATCTCAAAACTGACTCTGAAGGATTCCCTAACCGTTGATGCCACAAGTCGAACGAAGAATCACCATCTACTGCTAGAATCTTCACTTGAGGGACTCCTCGGAAAAAATACAATCCATCCTCACGTTCACCCACACCAATCACCTTCCTCGTCTGCTGGTCCTGTATAACACATATTTTGTTAGTAAATTGTAAAATACAATGAGATTCATCACTTAATTGAGTGACAGAAATCAAATTGCAAGTCAAGTGAGGTACATAAAGCACATTATCAAGTTGTAACCCTCCTGGCAAAATCACTGTGCCTAATTGATCCGCATTAGCCGACTTTCCGTCTGGCAAACCTACGGGACAATTTTGTATTCTCTTCACATTTTTGAGCAAGTTAAATTCACATGTAACATGGTTTGACGCTCCGGTATCTACAATCCAAGGAATTGTATTTGTCTTACCATGCAAGTGCCTGTTTTTGGGATTTAAAATCTCCAAAATTTGTTGAACTTGGGTAGCACTCACGCCTGCCAAGCTCGCTGCTGCATCTTCATTGGAGGTGGTGGCCTTTGCTTGCGACTGTGTAGCACCAGCAACCTTATTAGCTCTCACGGTTTGCTGTTGGGTTGAGGAATTTGCCGAGTTGCTGCCAGAATTGCGAGCCCCTCCACGGCCTGCTCCACGCCCTCCTCCACCTCGACCTCGTCCTCGTCCACCACGACCACGTTCCCCCCACCCCTCGGGGTAACTAATGATCTGATAGCACCCACTTTCGTCATGGCCTACTCGATTACAATGATTGCAAAACTTATCACTATTATCCTCATATTTCTGTTTTGCCCGAGAATCCACCTTAAAAGCCACTGCATTCTCCACCTTCATACTAGCTTCACGCAAACTTTCGGCCATAACAATATTTTGGTATGCCACATCGACACTAGGCAAAGGGATTTGTGCGAGTAATTGAGTCCTTATTGCAGCATAATGAGCATCTAACCCAATTAAAAAATAGTGTAAGTAATCTTCTTCTCTAATCTGCTCCACCTGTGTAACTATATTGCAGTCACACTTCCCGCACTTACACTTAGGGACCCTCGTATAATTGAGAAGCTCCTTCCAAATCTTCGATAGCCGACCAAAGTAATCAGCTATGGACTCCGTAGACGCCTGATGGCACGCACCCAACGCAGTCTTTAATTGGCACACACGCGTACCACTTACAACACAAAACCGATTCTTGAGATTCGTCCACAAAATACTCGCATCATCATAGTCTCCAATCGTCGATCGTAATTTCTGATCAAGTGTATTGGATATCCACGAGACCAACATGGATTGTACAGCAATCCAATCTTCTAACTTCTTTTCATCCGTCGGCATCTTGATTGATCCATCTACGAAGCCAAATTTTCGTTTGGCCATTAACGAGCGTCGAATCGCTTGAGCCCACTCATCATAATTCTCACCACGCAATTGAATAGGCGTGATTAAATTTCCCGGAGCATCACTGGAACCGAGATAGTAAGTTAAATCTACTGGAGTTTTGTCACCCATCCCTCACAGTAAAGGTATGTTCTGTTTCACTTTGTGTTGTTTAGTTTTTGGAGTTTTTTTTTTTTTTTTTTTTTTTTTTTTTTTTTTTTTTTTTTTTTAAAAAAAATTCTCAGAGAAAAAAAAAATAGAATGGAACCTTGGCTCATGATACCATGTCAAGATAATCTCCCAGTGTTCCTCTTCTCATCCAGCCTCAATCAAATATATATACAATCATATAGAAAGCTACTCAACGTAGGATTCTAATATATCTAGCTTAGGGAAAGATCTATCCTACTAAAAGATAATATACTAAAAGATAATTTATTCCATAAATATACTATCTTATCTCAACAAACTGATTAATAAACAACCCTAGTATTTTTGTTATCTTGGAAAATCTCTTTAGTACGATCCCAAATCTGATGAGCCGTCGAGTTTCGAGACAAAATCGTTTCAAGAAGGTCAGTGGAGATTGTGCCATAAATCCACTGCTTGACGATTGCATCAAGACGCCGCCATAGAGAGTCCGAGACGCCCATAGGACGGGAAACTGTGGAGTCAATGTGATCTAGCACATTGTAGGCGCAAGCATGGTTCTCAAAAAGCTCAACCCAATTAGAGTGTTTGACCTTCTCATAATCAAGAACAAGGGGAATTGCGTTTTTGATGTTGCTCACCGCTAAGGCGTGGTGAAACTCCGACGTGGGTGGAGGAGGAGGAGTGTCATCATCCTTTGCCATGACAAGCTTAACAAGAGGCAGTGAACAAAGGAAAAACAGGGAGCACCGAAATCAAGAAAGAAAAAAAGACCTGAACTTACTAGCTACGCAAGTACACTGTACACATGGTTTACACCAAGTTTAGTTTCATCTTTCAACACTAAACAATATATACTTGCGTTGCACTTACCTTGTTTTTCCGATCCTCACTAATTCAAATTTTAAAAATTCATTGATGGGTTTAATTTTGGAAAAATTATCCGAAATAACCGACCTTTAAGGCATCCAATCCGTTAAAAATAATCCTACCTTTAGATTATTTTTAAATAATCCCACCTTTCATGCCAATCTTCTTCAAATGGTCTCCTCTAATTTATTAAAAGTCCATCAATGGATATAGTTTTAATGTAACTTTCAATACAATGTAATGAAATAAACATTAATACCTGCGTCTAATAAAAATATAAGATAATCGATCTTGATAAATAATGTCAATTCAAGAAACTAGATACTTTATTTTGAATGGTAACAAAACTAGATGCCTAAGGAAAAGCTAAATAATCCTTATAGCAACATCGATCATTCTCGCTTTCATCGGTATAGTTATGTACGTAACATCCGTGACATTCTTGGCGGCTTCGATTAACCATACTACTCTTATGCTCTTCCTTGTTCTTCAAGGGGTCATTAGAAGAACTTTGATGGAAACTACCCAAACACTCTGCCTTGGTAAGGTCGTTCTTAAAGGGGGCATAACAATAATCCTCGTCGTTCTTGCTTTCACCCGTACAACTATCTTCGTAACTTCCGTGATCCACCATTTTCTTTTCTTCTTCTTTGTTCTTCAAGGGGGCATCATCAACACTAGAATCAACGTTAACCATACTTTCGAAAAACTCTTCCATTGTAGGAAGGTTGTAAGGATAGATGAATTCATCATATGCATCAAGATCATCATTAGTGTAACACTTAACGTCTAAGTCAACTCGAGATGAAATGCATGGAAAGTATAAACAATGATCACACAACCAAGAGGTCCATGACTCTTCCAAGCTTAGATCATTCGGAAATTTCGGTTCAAGATCATCAATCTTTGGTTGAGTTTTGACATGATCAAGATTATCAGAGAAAGCCATTGTTATGTTTAGGGTTAAGACAAGGGAGAAAGAATAATACGGGTGTAGCTAAGATATATAATTTGAAGCTCTTAAATGAATAAATTATTTATAAAGCTTAGGGTTTCATACGTGATTAAGGATATGATTTAGTTTTAAACATAATAATCTAATAGATATTCTACCACTACTTAAGGAAAGTTTAGGTGAGTAAATTGTTGACCAAGTATTTAACTAAATTAATACAGATAAAATACAGAGCTGAGTGCCCTTGTTAGTTTATAACTCAAATTTTTGATTTTTTTTTTATTTCTTGGATGCTTAAATTTTTTCGACAGGAAAAATTATCTTCTAGTTTGTTATATCAATGCAGGTAAAATACGAATTATATCTGTATCAACAAGTGTAATAAATTCTAATTCGTTTTTATTTATTTATTTATTTATTCAAGTCAATATAATCTACTGATTCTACTCTGGGTATTATAAACAATATATATCAATATGTGCAATAAATCTATTAGGATTATTTTAAAATCATGTTAATCTTATATTCTTACATTAAATATAATTGTACAACTGCCTTTAAATTATTTTAATGAGATTAATTACCCTAATTTATAATTACCGCCTACTCCACCTACAATATTGTTATGAACTTTTGATGAAAAATAATTTCCTTATATTAGTTAGTTAACACAATAGTATGGAATATTGCACTTTCAAACAACAATCAAACCCTAAAACGCATCATTAATACAGAATACTTTAGTAGTTTAAGTTTTAAGTTATTCTTATGCGTCACATTGTTTTGTTTTGTTAATATGGAATACATAAAGCCGTCATAGAGATAATTATAATAAAACATTAATAAGCTTTTTAAACAAAATAATAATGACAGTTATTTAAGAAACTAGATATTAATCTAAAAACATTATTGATTATCTAGAATACAAGATCATCATGAACTTCAATATAATCAGCTACATATATAAGTTCAATAGTTTATAATAATTCTTTTTGTTTCCAAAGTACAATTGTAGAACTTCTTAATTAATTAATTCCGCCTGCTAAACTTCTTTAGCTTCTTGCAATCGAATGCCTTCTTTTTTCCCCTATAATACATGCGAATCATTGTAGTTTTATTTGTTGTCGATCTTGTATTTCCTCGTCTTAATTGGCATTCATACGAAAAATCATCCTCATCATTAACATCGTAATCATCATAATCCTCGCTTTCATCCGCATAATCACAATAATCATTATTATCAACACCCGAAACATGAGATTCTTCACTTTGATCAACCATAATCTTCTGCTGTTGTTTCTCCTTGGTCAAGGACTCATCGGAGGCTTCATGTTGATATGATGTGTAATGATCATGAAGGAAAAGGACTTTATGAAACGAAGTACCCAAACATGAACGGATGGCATTGTGAGTGTCGTCGTTGACGTACACAATCTGAGTAGTACCCAAAACCGACATCGCCTTGTAGAGATCATGGAGATAAACAGGTTTTAAACCATTCATGATATTTGGTTGAACATCATCAACGTAAATAGGAGGAGCAAATTCATCTACGTACGAAGGAGGCGTTGCGGCCATTGTTGTGTTTGAAAGAATTTAGATATGCGACTAATATCTACGTTAATTATACGGAGTATTGATGAATAGACCAATTACTCTAAGAGAATCTAATTAAGTTTATTTGTAACAATAATTTGAAGGCCCCTAGGTACTTATATACGCAGTAGTTTTACATTATAGGTCGGTTTAATATCTTTTAGGCCAAGTTTAGGAAAGTTTTTTTTTACCAAAAGTTAAGGTTATGGCCAAAAGCTCTATCAGGATAAGGAAAGTTAAGAGAGATTATATACTTCATCATACGTTTTTCACTAAAACTTTATCCAAATATGGTTAATTTTTATACTAATTAGTTTATATTTCAGAAAAACTTCTTGAATTTTTAAAATTCCAATATACTTTTTCTGTCGCTATTTTTTTTCCATTGTAAATAAATGGATCAGACCTTAAAATCTTTGACCAAAATTCTCATTATTAATCAAGAAGAGATAATACAGTCATGTGAGGTCTTGTTAATTCGTTTTGTTGTTTTAATTTTTATGTGTTTAGAAATGAAATTATATACGTTTTAAAACTTGTTTTGGAGACTGTGAAAAGTCAAATTGGACAAAAAAATAGGGATAGAGGGATTATATTTATAACAAGTTTTGTACATATACATCGAGTGAATAATAATGTATAATAATCATAGAATCGAAGAATTCTGATCAATAATTGATGTTTTGGGAACATATTTAATACATGTAATTAATATACTCCATTCTTTCCAGCTTTCTAGTGTATAAACTAGCTTAATACAATGGTCGAAATTCGGGTAAAAATCCCTACATACAACTTAAACGGGATGTACGTAACTTTTTTGCTACCTTTTAGACCTTTCTCACTATATCGAGATTGTCGACCACTTAGAAGTACATTTTGTCACAAATTTTACAATTAGTACAAAGTTAATTCTCATGTAAAATAACCAAAATATCCGATCCTATCCACTTGTACACGTACTAATTCTAGTCTTCTAGTAGAGAACTATATATATACAATTATTTATATTACTTCCCGATCTTAATCAAACTATTTATTGACTTAAACAATATACAAAAATAGTTTAATTTCATCGAAGCATTAATTGACTTAAACAAGAATGTAACAATTCAAGAAACTAGATACTAATTTGAAAGAAAAAATCATCATATTTTATTAATTAACTTTTATTCTAAGTTTCATTTTTCTTAACACTGATTGAAATAATACATACATGCCTGTTGTCAAAAAAAAAAAAAAAAAAAAAAGATTGAAATAATACATGCATTCCACAGTACCACACCATGTAACACTTTGTAGGATATAATATAAAAGGAGTAATAAAAATACAAGTAAATAATCTTGAATTACATAATGTCAATAATTCAAGAAACTAGCTAATAGATACTTAATAAAAATCTAAGTAATCTTTATAACAACACCGGCCGTTCTTGCTTTCATCGGTATGATTATCTACGTAACATCCATGACATTCTTGGCGGCTTCGGTTAACCTTACTCTTTTGCTCTTCCTTGTTCTTCAAGGGTGCATAACAATCCTCATCGTTCTTGGCCTTCTTGCTTTCATCCGTAAAACTGTCTTTGTAACTTCCGTGACCAACCATTTTCTTTTCCTCGATCTCTTCTTTGTTCTTCAAGGAGGCGGCATCATAATCAACACTTGAATCAACGTTAACCATACTTTCGAATAACTCTTCCACGGTAGGAAGGTTGTAAGGATAGACGAATTCATCATCAAGATCATAATTAGTGTAGCACTTAACGTCGTGGCAAAAATTTAGAGTATGCAAAAATTCATCATCAATCTTTGGTTGAGTTTTGACATGATCAAGATTATCAGACAAAGCCATTGTTTTGTT